GCCGGAATGAATATGTCGTATAACGGTCATTAGTGTAGCGCGAATGTGTAGCTGCTCATTGTAGTCAACCCAGACCTACATTCGCGTTATGTCGTGTCATAAGTGTCATAATGGGTTTTGCTGAATTACGACTTTTCAGTCGTAGAGGCGATTGTTACATTGTCCCATGTGACAAATATCCTCCACTTAATATCGATTAATCAGGCACGATCGATCCGCGGAGCGATGCCGCGTCGACGGTTCCGCGTTTGATCTTGCAGATCGATCACCAATAAATCACGTTTGCCGCACCGCGCCGCGAGACAGTGACAGATGGGCGCAACTGCAGCCGGTGTCACGTGTCGACACCGACGACTTCCTCTCTCGCAGAAAAGAGAAACAGTGTAGTGCCTGTCAGACACGCGTTATTGGATTCCCTAGAGGAAGAAAAAAATTAATGAACATTCGTTGAGAAGAACGAGAAGAGAACTGAGTTCGCCTTTTTCTTACGTAGCCTGAAGCGTCGATGAGAGGAGTAATACAACGTCATCGTGTTGTCCGTCGCTTACCTAAAGAATTTGCGATCTCTTACGAACCGGAACAGGAAGCTGCGCGAAGCAGGTAACCGCAAGTGGCACGAAAAGAATAAAGAAACGAATGAATCAAGGTTGCTTGATAATTATCCTTTTACCCGCGATACACTTCTTTGCGTTGTTCTACCTGCATTCTTATCTACCAAAGCGTACACACAAAATAATATATACTATATTCAAGTAAATGTTACTCGTTTCAAGTATTTTAAAATCTATATAGTGAGATCTTAACGTAATGGTTATTAACTTTATTTAGTATACTAAAATGCCAAGATGTTTAAATAATTAATAATTTGATTTCAAAGTAAATAAGATATAGTAAATAAGATATGTATAAATAAATAAATATATATATATATATATATATATTTATTTATTTAAACTAGAAAATACACCACAACATTAACAAGAAAATTACACTAGATTTATTGTCTATTTTCATTTATTCGAGTTCTACTAAATATATTTAAATCGAGAACCGAACAAAAATCACAAATTTGTTATCCTTGTAGACTAAAACTGAAGAGTGCCCAACATCTCCGGGATTGGCCCGTTATTCTCCTCTACCGCCATCCCCTCTTATTTGCTCTCTTTTGTCTCATCGCGATTTAAACGTTACATCGATTTGATCCGTTTTCTGTTTATCTCATATTTTCAACAAGTGTATCGACCTGTTCTAACTTCTTATATTATTATCTTATGTTGTTATTTCTTCTCTCTCTTAAATTGTACGTTAAACCGCAATTACTTTATATTTCTTACAGCATTTCGTAAATTTGTATATCTGCGAATCTGTATAAATAAAAACTATAATATTTGTTATGTTATTATAACATTATTATTGTTTGTTGTTATTATACTCTATAACTCCCAAACACTTTGATCGGTCTGGATCAAATCTTGCCTAGTTATGTACTCTTTACGGTCTTGCGGAAAGAATATAGGCTACATAAGAAACCTGGACACCATCCTTCTAACTTCATCATCTTGATAATTTGTGATATAACTTAAGTTTAAATGTTTAAACTTAAGTTTAGACAAGAAATGTAGACAACACCAGATAGTTTCAGTTAATTTATCATAAACTCATTGCAAGCATCGAATTGATTCAAAATATCTTCTGTTCCTAGAAAGCTTAATATTTCAGTCAAATTCGATTTACTTACTACATAAAGTCGCAACAACTTTTCTTTAAAAATTCTATAATATTCTTGCAAAGAGAATAATTTTTTCAAGTATAATAATAATAATAAACTTTATTGGTATAACAAAAGAATAAACACAATCGGATACTATATATAACAGTGAGCCTTTCTAAAATTTGTAACAAATATATTTGAACACTATTATTAAGAAAATATTCTTCGTTAAAGATAACTATTGCTTAAAAGAAGAAACGTAAATTGAATAATCGCTTTTCTTAGTATTAATAATATTAATTCTATAATATAATTCTTTTATATTATATAGGATAATTCTTTTCTGTGTGTACGTTTTTATGCAATATAATTTAATGCAAGTTTGTAAATATATATTAAGGAAATTTTTTAAATAATGTTTACATTCCTACGAAACCTACATGAAAAAAATCATCCAAATCAGTCAATGTATCATCCAAGAAGTTTCTTTATAGCTAATTTACAATGCGCGCGATAAACATGTCATACAAGAGATGTATATTCAAATATTCACCACGATTCCATTAAGTACACGTGATATGCTGGGGGAAAATCCAGATGAAAAAACGAGTCTCGATCTATTATATGTAATCTACGTAATTTAGCGATATGCAGACGATGATGTGCATTTTTGCAAACATTTTTAATGTCTTCCAACGAGCTACTGCCATTCACATCGCAATTAACGCTCGCTACGAATAAACTCCGTAATTAATGGTAGATTATCAATGTCGCGACGGAAATGTATATTATCCGTTTCCTATTTCCAAGTTTTTTATTACAAAATAAAGCATATTTAAAAACTCTATAACAGGATAAAATATCGATAAATTTATTAGAATCACAAGTAAAAGAAAACAAAGGTAAAATTGATTTTCAAACGTTATTTAGAATTTTAATTGCATACATTTATATTTCTAGAGCGTGCCTCTAAATGTCTGAAAGAAGTTCACTCGAAAGTTATTATTACTAAAGTTAAGTTCCACACATATCACGCCTTCGAGAAAAAACTGCGATAAGTCTCTATCAAGCAACATTATAGTAATATTAAAAGCATATAAAGATTATAAAGATCATTACTGAAGAATAATTTATTAAAGCATAAAAAGTCGATAAAAAAGATAAGTCCATCTTAACACTTTTGACAACTGATAATTAAATTTTCCTAAGTGCTGACGAGATGTTTGTTTTTAACACAGCTTAGCAGAAAGAAGATAATCTAAAGCGACGCAATGCTCTGTATGTTTACGCAATTACGTCAAAATTTCGCAGAATTATTAGCCGCCAATGTAAAATGAAATACTGAAGTATGCACATTCGTTGCACACACCTGCGATAACGAAATAACATAAAAATTGCTTCACAGACATGTCACATAATAGAAGTATATTCCTAATATTATGTATACGACTTTCATGTTACATTTACAAAAAATGAATGAGGAACAGCCGCGAGTGAACTGTTTAAAATATCTCGCGAGATGAACATATCTAAGAAAAGAGATGTCTCACTTGAGTCGCATCGTATGCAAAGAACAAGTTACAACTTTGTTCATACATGCTAGAATTTTTTACTTAACAAGGAAATAAAGATATATAAGAGAGATAGGAATAATAAGGTATATTTAACAAATTCACGGTTCTATTAAAATCCCGTATAACAAGTATTCAAATAATGCGAAACGGGTTTAACTACATCTCATTAAAAATTACAATTTCTAATCAGATACAGAACTGGTATTACACGAAAAAATAAATCCATATTGAAAAATAAAATAGTATATAAAAAACCGAGGTATTTTTAATTGGTCAGCTGCGGATATAATTTTATATATGAAGTTATTGTTTGACTATATATGCAAATCAACAATGAGAGAAAAAGAGAAGATGTTTTTGTGATTTATATGATTCATCATACCGTGAAATCATTTCTCATCAATGAAATCGACTAATCAGCGATATAATAGAAATAACATCTAGACTTGAATTATAACCGAGATGATAATTTTTATTTAAAAATTGTTGTTCTAAAGTATTAATTTTAATTTTAAAATGTGTGCGTGAAATAGTTAATATTCCTCTATAAGACACACTTTATCCGCTATTGCTCGATATAGTTATAATATTTATAATAGTCTTAATATATTACTATAATTATAATATAATTATAACTATTTATAATAGTTATAATAGTTATAATAGTCTTTTATTAACTTTTAGACAATAAGTTTCTACCAAAGTATGGCTTATCATGAAGTTTTTAACGTACTCTCTCTGTTTTAGCAAATGAAAAACCTGTTCGACTTTTGATGTCAACAGCGCATCACTTAAATTAGCCGAATTCTTAACAAAAACTTGCTTTCCATTATGGATTTTAGTCGCAGACGCATTATTTCAGTTATTTATAGTTCTCAATGGGGCTATCTTTTGTCCATAGCTTTTATATAAAATACCACAATTGACTTGTTCGTATATTCCACGGCCCTTTTTTACATCACGCGCTATTTAACGGATACTTTGACTCACTAAACGATAAACCAAAACGAATTTCAGGTAAACATATAGATATCTGTGATATACTAGATCGTGTGAACCTCGTTATATACATAGATACAATGTATCAAGAAGCTATGTATTTAAATAACACATTGCCGGACTTAAAATAACCGATTGGGGGAAATGCAGTTCCTTTACAAATATAAGAATTTTCTGCCTATAAAGTTATTGAGTCGAAATGTATCTTTGCCACCGATGTGTATACATATGAAACAGTGTGTGCACACACTGTACGAGTTGTATATTATATACTGGGACGTCTAAAGGAAATTAAAACTCACGGTCTAATATATTACAGATGCTTGTGGATAAACATATTTCAACTTACTGGTCGTTTCCTCTTTCTTTCCGTTTTCAAGGTTATAGTAAGAGCCACATCAAGACAAACTAGACAATGTTCAAATAGGCCGCAAAGTAGAGACGAGAACGCTACAGGATTAGCTTACAATGGGATTAAAGTTTTGAAAATAAGTTGGCTAGGAATGCTAGTTGGATTCGCTATCGCACTAAGTCATCACAAATTATTGTTTTCATGGACCACTGCTATTTCTCACTTTCACCGTCCGTAAATAAAAATCTCATGATAGTTCGATGATCATACAAATAGTTAAGGTACAACGCTGGACAACAATATATTGCACAGCTAAATGAACTACGACACTTAAATATATGACGTTAATTAAATAAAACTTACATACAGTCATGGTAACTATATTTTATTAATATTCAATTTTACATTTCGATGTGTAAAATTGAAATAAATATACTATAATTTACAAGCAAATTTAAATGTACAGTACAGTGTACAGCGTATGTAATATAAATTCCAAAAACACGCCTTCTAAATTATATGAGGATTTAGATGTAAAAAATGGACACGTGATTATTATTGGTCATATTATTGTCATATTATTGTCGCGTCATATTATTGTCATATTATTGTTTTCACCCATCTATCTAAATTACTTAAAGATAATTTAGTATAAAAAGTATGTACATATAACTAATTGATCCTAAAGCGCAACTTAGAACGGATAAGAAAAGTATTTACACACCTCATACTTTGATCGATATGAAATTATATAAAAGAAAAAATATTGCTGTGCAAATACTTCTAATGAAATATATCAATTTCCCATGAATTAATATATCTTGAATTTATAAAAAGAGCACATTTTTCTTCTTTCTGTAATATCATTCGATTAAAGATGAGATGTAGAAATGCTTTATTTATCTATTATATATTTCTGTTACCTGAAATTTGGAAAATGGGTCAATTTGCTGAAAAAACGCTACCTAAATCATTCAGAGCAGTCTTGAAAGGCTTACAGCTTTGTAAACTTCATTTTGCTTCTTCTGTTTTTTGCTTCTATTGCATTCCTACTTTTTCTCATTTTTATTCACTTTTCATTCATTTTTCCGCTCCTTCGGAGTTTTTCGAAAAGACAATAAATTTCGTAATTTAATAATAATCGATAATTTTTTCAAGTCTGACTTTGAATCTATCTTTGTCGACGTCAACATATTCTTCGACGGCACCGGCACGTCCAAGTAACTAATAACATAAATATTTGCACATTATTCATATTATATTGTGCATATTATTATCATTTTGTAACAGATAATCAAATTAAAGTTTTCCCAATTTTTGGTAAATCTATCGAGAAAGTTTGCTGGAGATTAAACGATTCTTACAACAAATTATCTCTGTGAATTAATTTAAGAAACTAATTCTTGTTAACATCTTATAAATATATCATTTTTAATACAAATACGAATGAATCTTGAGTTAATTCATTTGACCATAGAATCATTAATAATATATAACCCCACCTGGAAGATTTTTGCGGCATTTGAGACGAACTCTTTGTGAATGATGTTAACAATGATCTCGATACATTTTGCGACTTGCTGCTGCTAAGCAGGCAGTTGTTAGATCCTTCGGTAGTCACAATTATCAACGGTACTTTTACTTTTTCAGACAAACACGTAATTTGGCCGTCCGTAATGCTATATAAACAATTATTCATCAATCTACTATTCAATAAATTGTTTAAGTATAAGAAAACCTCGTGTGTTCTGATGCAAGAATAAATTAATAAATGTATAAAATAATGCTTGTTTACATATAATCCTAGAACATTGATTAAAATTGGAGTCACAAAAATTTTATATATATTTTTTTATTTCCTAGGAAACACATAAATGTTTATATTTTATTTTATATTTAGAATTATACTTTTATACTTTTTATCATAAAACATTATATAATTTTTCTATTGTTCAACAAGTATCAATAAAAATTGGTAAAAGGTAACGCATTTATAAAGGGAAAGATATAATATAATAAAGATATAATTCCCACTTCAGAAAATTAAGAAAGGATATATACGCGGCAATTCTTATTCGTAAAATTTACTTACTCCAATGTGTTTCAGAGATAGGAAGTTAATACTATAGTATATTATGTGACGTTACTTGCTACGACAAAGTCTAAGATGTCTCGGTAGGTAGATTTGTAGAAATACGTTTTCTGTACTTACTTATTTGAGTCTGTTTGTAATTTTTTTCGTGGTGGTTTAATAGGACCTTTGTTATTCCTACCATCTTTTTCTTCTACTTTTAATTGCTGATCACTTCCTAATGATATAGCAATTGTATTTTGTATATTTTCATCTAATGGTCGACGAAATATTACAGAAGATGGTTCATGAATATTAACATGCTCTTCGTGATTCTCAATATCTGAATAATAACAATATAATGAATTATTTACTAATTATCCCTTCCTTCATGCAATATAAAATATTATAAGAAACTGTAATATATTATAAGGAACTCTATATTATAAGGAATTGTAACTATATTGAAATAAATAATGTAAAATATGATAAATAATTTACCATTATTTGTTTTGTTGTACGTTTTCTCGTGTACAACAATTTTTTCAGATGAAATATCTTCAAGACATCGTGTACATTTTACACATCTTACCCACGAACTTATACGTTTAATTATCGTACTGGCGATCCGTAAGACCTCAGACATTTTTTGACTTTAAACAATTTAGATATTATTTTTATTAATGTCAATAAATGTATAATTTAAAATAATGAAATATAGTTAAAAGAACAATTATCTTTATTTAAATCCGATTTTTTTACATTTAGACAATTATTTTATAAGAGACTACATATATTTCATTCTTCCTGTAGAAATACTTATCCCTTTATTCATTATCCAAATTTTTTCTTTTCTATTTACCTTTCTTACTAATATGCCTGAATTATCTTTCTTACTAATAGGCCTGAATTAATAAGTTTTTCCCACTTTCTTCACGAAAAATCCTACGAAATAATTATATTTTACACCGATGATCATACAAACGTTGCTAAACTCTGATTGCGACCGTTGTTTACCACGAAAGATTCGCGACTATTATTGAGTGTATCGAAGTCAGTCGTTTCAGTAGCCGGTATCGGGGAAATAGGTATTTACAAACAAATTAGGAATCATCTCGAGAAATTAAAGAATAGTACCGTGCAATAACTAGAAATAATACTTGCAGAGTGTAAATATTTTGCTTCTTAACTTTGCTTGACACGACAAACTGACCTATTAGACGTAATCTATCAACTAAAAGAGAATTCGCACATTTTTCGAAAACATATTTGTAACAACAATTTTATAGCTGTTTTAATTATTTTATATAACAGCGAATCTCTTTTCACAACGCACATGTTATGAATTATATCGAAAAAGACTTAAGATATTTGCGATTCTATGCAAATTTCTTAAGTCTTATTCTCGTTATAACTTATAACATCTCGGTGTGCCTCACACATTTTTAATATTAACCTTTTCCAGCGTACGTGTGCGCGAGTATGCTTTTTCTGTACTGAGAAATCCACTACGAATGCTTTTGTAGATAGAGTGAAATATATGTCGTCTTATAAAATGATTGTTTAAATGTTAATTAAAATTTTGGATTTAAATAAAGATAATTATCCTTCTAACAAAATTTCATTATTTTAAATTATATATTTATTGATATTAATAAAAACAATTTAATAATAGTAATAACAGTCCTGATAATATTTCTACATGGAAAAAAAGATTTGTTAATATATGGACAACTAAAAATATTAACTGCAGGAGCAAATTTTTTTGCTTTCATAATAAAAGTTATTTAGTTGTGATAGCTAAAAGATTTGTTAATATACTATATATTAGCATATTAATATATTTAAATATTATCACAACTAAATAACTTTTACTATGAAAGCAAGAAAATTTGCTCCTGCTATTAATATTTTTAGTTGTCCATATATTAGCAAATCTTTTTTTCCCGTGTAGTAATATAATTGTATATGGTTTTAAAGCATGGAGTAACACATTACTATTAACAATTTCTTCCAAATTTTCTCAATAGTTTGAAACAAATTTTTTATTATAATTGTTTTATAATAAAAGATTGATGTTTCTTTATTTTACTATAACACTTATTGCCATGCTGCCGAAAGTAAACATACATAAAAACAGTTATTTTAATACGTATGAAACAAAGTATCCAAATGATTGTTGCAATTATGGTGTAAAGTATTGAGAGCCGACCAAAGTCGGCGGTAGGATTGACAGTTCGTTATGCCAATTATAGTCGGCATTCGGATCCAGAGGCCCTCGCATGGATGCAGACTTAAGTCGACGTTAGGAACAAAAGGGTTAAAACTCGCAGAGATTATCTTGTTCACCTGATAGACATTGATATTTCTATTTCCTGGGCTATTGTTACACACACGTGAACACACGTGTCCCCACCCATTGTTCTCACACGAAGAAAAATAATTTACTGGTCCAGCAAATTTTCTGCTGGTCTAGCAAAATCTTTTCATTATTATATGGACAGCAAAAAGATTTGCTAAGAGTACTAATCACTACTTGCTGGATATAATTTGCTGAATCTACAAATTATTTTGCTATAAGAACCATGATGGATTTATATAAGCAGTTGCAGTTTTGCTCCGACAGCGAATAAATTTGCTAAGAATACATTATTTTGCATCAATAGCAAATTAACGTAGATCTTAGGATAAATACACTCAACAAATTTTTTCTATCCTGGCAACGAAACTACTTCTGCTCTGATAGCGGATAATTTGTAAAATTAGTTACATCAATTAAATTTTTTTGATGTCACTACGAATATGCAATAGCAACGACAATTTTGGTAAAAGAGCAAAATTACTTTTCTCCGTGCACCTATTGCCGGACATCCTGTACGTGTATATGAACATATAACTATCGTGTTCCATTTTAAAGAGACCCTTTTCTTATCTATCCGTCAGCAATAAAATATATAGCCGTAGACACTTGTGAAGTGCACTTTTACATATGGACTGTGCCGATAATAAGAACACTTCATTATAGGACCCAGTCATTAGCGCACTATGATTAATATGAAAATTCCACGTGTACATGTATTTCTGAATACAAAGAGGCGTTTCCTTTTTTTGTTGCTTGCGAAGAACAAAGTACGAACGGTTGAGTCTACGGAAACGGCCGAAGGCGGTATTGGCGTGCACTGAATCGATACTGTACATTCCGTTAATCTTTCATTCTGACCAGCGTAAGAAAAAAAGGCGCAGCAGACGTGGATGAATATTTAACGGTCGATAATAGCGACCATTAGAGGAGACGGTGAGTCGTGCAAAAAACATGGTTGTGCAATCACATCGCACCTACAGACTGCGATGTAAAAAATAGATCGCTCGCGTAAGATGAGAAAAAAAAAGGTGCTTCCTGTTGGATGTCTGTGAGTAAGTGTACGAGACACTTTCCATATATGCCACTAAATATTTTCACGTAGAACTTGATACACTGAGAGAAGAAAATATATAAAAAATAAAAAATATTTATTCGGTAGGTTAATAACGTATTATCCAATACAAATGATTCTTTAAGCAAGAAAATGTGCATTTTTTAGAACCTTAATTTTTTATGAAAACAATCGTTTATTCTGTTTAAATAAAAGAATCTAGATTTTGGTAAATATGTTATTAATGCCTACTGAATAAATACTTTTTTATTTTTTATTTTTTATTTTTATTTTATTTTTTATTTTTTATTTTTATTTTTTATTTTTATTTTTTAAATATCTTTTCTCTTACAGAGAAACAAATGAGAGGACATGACAAAAAACGTATATCGATTAATCGTTATATTGATGTGTGTCTCCATAGATATAATAATCCCGAGTCGAAATTTTGGCTCTATGTTAAACCTGAATTCTACAACACAGTAGAAATTAAGTTAGCAAAGCAGGTTTAATTCTAATGATACAATTTACTCTTACTTTGACTCTGATGATGTTTGAAATTTCTCTTTTCATTTTCTTTAGCGTCAAAATAGATATTGAATGGAATAATGAGATTGAAAATAGGATCCAAATTTTTACTCGCTCCTTGTAAATTAATATAATTTCTCTCGTCTCTCTTCTACGCTGTATTTATATTATTTTACCATTTTATTAGATATCTCTGTTCTCTCATATTTAATTCCTTACTTCTTCTTCAGTGCATCTCGGCTGTGATTCATATGGATCGCGAATATACATACTTAATGCGACAATCCGTTGCGGTTGAGTGGGAAGTTAACCACCGAGTGCAAGGAGGCAATAATCGTATCGTATATTCTACAAAAGCTGCAAACGTTCCCCACAAAGAACGCAGTCGCGCAATGTCCGAAGGACACGAGTTTTATTTCTGCAGTTTCGATACATTGGTGTTTGCAGGTTATTAACGCGAAGAGATAAAGTGAGCGGGCTTTCAATAGAAATTCCCGTAAGTAACAGTTCTCTACCGTACGATCAATTTCGCCACACAGAGTCTAAAAATCTGGTAAAAAGTACGCGGTATGGTTCCCAAGAAATTTCCGTTATAATTCTACGCGTATGCAACAATGTTTTTATGGGGCAATGCGACGTGTACATAAAAGATTTATCAAGCTTGTCACCCATATCGACACTGCGATCGCCACAGCGATCACAGTTTAAGTACACGCCTATCAAATTACCGTAGGAATTAGTTAACGCATGCAGCTGCAATTATTCTTTTTATGCCGACGGCAGAAAGAACCTTGGCGCGTTTCTTCAAAAGAATAATAATTTATCTTTAATCGACTATGTATACGTGTCGATAGATTCGCCCCTAGCATAACAACTGTGTGTTAAGTATACAGGGTGTCCCAGATCGCCACTCTCAAACTTCGCGAGAGCGCAAAACAAATTGAAGTAAACATAAAAGTTCCATACCATCTAGCGATATTCGTAATAAGTCTCGAGATATTAATTTAAAAAGTGGCGAATGATCATGCGCGATATGATAGATGAACTGTAGTGGCGATATATGCTGTTGTGTGTGCTTATAAATTAGATGAAATTGAACAAAAAACTCTTTAATATTTTGCAAGTAATCGCGATTACTAATTACGAGATTCTTAATTATTCATAAAAGAAACTTGTTACACGATTGTGTGCGATATAACGCACAAATCTTCTTTAATTAATATCTGAAAATCTATGTGGTCCTTTGCAAAATAGTAAAGGCTTTTTTTGTTCAGTTTGACTTAATATATAAGTATATATAGACGGCGCCACTACAGTTCATCTACTATATCGCGTATGAACATTCACTAATTTCCTTTGATTAATATCTCGAGATTTATTACGAATATCGTAAAACGGTATGCCACTTTTATGTTCACCTCAATCCGTTCTACGCTCTCGTGAAGTTTAAGAATGGTGATCTGGGACACCTTGTATATATATATAAGTGACAAAACATACTCTTACTACCTACAAATACCTATATTTATACCTGTATCCCCATATGCAGAAATGTATCGAATGTTAATTCATTTAATGCAGTTAATCAACTTTCGTCACTTAATCGACAAAGAATTGCGTTTGGAATTATCCATTAGTCACCGTGACGGTCTACCGGTTTCACTATTTTCTCAAAGAAAGGACACGTAAGCCTCACTTATTGTTAGTCACGCATGAACAATTGAATCAGTGCAATGTATACGTAGCACGAGTGTGCTACGGATTTTACATTTCTACGAAGTAGTGCAATAAACTTATTTTATTTCGTACTTCTTAGTATTACGAATTTAAACAGCTTAAAAACTAGCAAGGCTGCTCAAGAAATTGTGGATAATAACGTTCCTTTAATTTAATTTACCTTATTACTTTTTTGTACATACAGACTGTCACATTTTAATTGTACATCTCAAAAACAAGACATTATAGAAAAAAATGTGTCTAACAAAAGTTGTACTATTGTAAAGAGAAAAGATGATAATATTCAATTGGAATGTTCAATTCGAATAATTGGAATAATCTTGAAAAGACTTGACAAGGTAAAATTTAATTTTTTATATGGAATCATATGA